GGCCAACGATCGCTTGTTGATTGTTTTATTATGTTATAAAAACAAATATTAGTTTTTAATTTATCATGAATATATATATATACTAGTCAGTTGCTCGCGGCGCGAGAATTTTATTACTTTGTTTATGAGTAATTGATTCGTGTTTTATTTCGTACTTCTTTTCTCCACTACAACATATTTTTATTTTCTATCTCATGTTATGTTTGTATAGAAAATCTATTTTATTTTAGTTTCGATAGTAGTTGAGAAATTAAGTGTCTATAATATAAATCGATGTGTAAGCATAAACAGAAGTGTTATGGAGAGTTGTAGAAAAATGTGTTATTAAGGCTCCCACCAAATATAGATCTTGATGATTATTGTGGGTCCTTTTAATATGTTAGTCCAAAAATTGAGAATGATTTGTGGATTTTGCGCGGATTGTTGTATTTTTTATTTATTGATTTGGCGATCTCTTGTTTATTATCTATTTATTTTGGTTTGTTATGTTTTTGTTTGTTATTTTTATTTGTTATTTATTGTATATTGTATTTGTTATTGTTATTTAACATACATATTAGTATAATCTACTTTATACTAATTTAACATATTTATTTTATTATAATTATTATCTGAAAGGACTTTTCATTTTTTTTTTTTGAAAAAACTTGTTTACATGTGTATAAATCTTTAACTTAAATGATAAAATGGTATAAATAAAATATTAAAATTAAATAGTAAAATGATGTGGATGATGTTTGAAAGGACTTTTCATATTTCTTTTTGAAAAACTTGTTCACATGTGTATAAATATTTAGATTAAAAAATAAAATGATATAAATAAATTATTAAAATTAAATAATAAAATGATGTGGATGATGATTAGGATGATGAGGTGGCTTAAGGAGAAGAGAGCAAAGTTAACTTTATATATATAGATATGCGTGTTTCTTTCTTCAAAACGAAGAAAAAAAAAATAAAACCATATTAATTAGAAGCTGGACATCACTTTTGAAACCTGAGGTCACACCTATCTTTAACTTTAACTAAGAGAAGAAACAAATATGACACAAATATTACATAATCGTGGCATATATATTGGAGCTGTTGTTAGTTGTTAAGTTGTTAGTGGTGGTGCTTCTTTTATATATCCTGCATTCCTAATAATTTATTATACATAAAAACTATTTTGGTATATTTAGCACATAATCTTTTTGCTAGTATCAGAATGTTTTGGTTTCGTTTAGCACATAAACTTTTGTTAGCTACCATCACTTCTAGAGAATCTCTTCCTTTTCTCTCATAATTGATAAGGTAAAATTGGTAAATGGCTTAATCAATTAGTAAAGAAGTATGGTGTGCAATCAATATACATTCAATTAGAGTTAGGGATATAAATTATAGATCCTAGGATAATCTCCATCCACCAAATATGTCTCATTAGACTTTTTGTACGTATGTCTATGTGTTTTCATGTGAGAAAACACTAAATTAGATACATACCTACAAAAATGTCTCTCAAGTTCTTTGTGTGTCTATGGTTGTTCGGGTTGGGCCAGTTTACTAGGTTTCCTTCGATGGTGCGTACAGATCAGGTTTGTTCTGATTTCTGAAGCTGGTATTAATTCTAGCTTCTTATGGAAAAACCCATGTTATGTTTTTAAATTTTTTTGTAGCCATACATTTATTAATTTATTGTTAGAGCGATCACTAATTATATGTCAAAACTAAAGTGATTAATATGCGTAAAGATGAAAAACAAAATATAAGGGAATAAATATTTTTTTAAGATATATATCTATTATAACATTTTTGAAGTACAATTTTTTGGCCACTTTTATTTAAAATTTTATCCCACCAAATGCCCTCCACATTTTGTTAATCAAGGTTATCTCATTAAGGTTAATTGTGTCATTAGTGAAGTCGGGTCGGTTTGTTTTAACAATTTACTACCCGATTGCAAAAACCGGATCCTATATTGATGCTACAATTTATTGCAAAAATCGGATCTTATATTGGTCCTATATTAATGCTACAATTTATTACAAACGGAACATTAATTGTGTCATTAGTGTTAATGTTATTATTATTTTTTGGTTGTCTCAAATTGTTTTTTTTTCTGGACAAAAGGTCGTTCCATATTGTTAAAACCAGGAAAAAGGAAAATTACAAAAGTAAACAACATATACACTACGATGAAATGCATAAGAGTTTTTTTTTTTTTCAACCAAAAAAAAAATGCATAAGAGACCCTTTCGAAGTCCTTTCCAAAATAAATTGAAACCCTTTCGAAGTACATAATTATCATTTTTCCTAATTTTTTAATTATCTTTTTTTGTCAACTTTTATATTATTGTTTCTCAAATTTATGTGTTTTCTCTTTTAAGAAAATTATATTTTAACAACCATTCTTATGTATTTCAACTTCATGTTTATTAGAGTATCCAAACAATTAATAATAAGATAAATATCCTCAAATAGCACCAAAATATGTTTTATATACCGTTATACTTTAACAACCATTCTTATGCATTTCATCAGAACTTCGTGTTTATTAGAGTATCCAAACAATTAATAATAAGATAAATACCCTAAATAGCACCAAAATATTTTTTGTAAAACTTTGTAAACCTTTTAAAAACTTTATAAAACTTTTTAAACCTTTTAAAAACTTTATAAATGACGTTTAGAACCTTTTAAAACCTTACAAATATTTGGATTTAGTCTTCCAGTAGTAATGATGATCTTGATGTACCTTATCAAGCATATAAAAGTTTATAATTTTTCATATTTGAAAATGGGTATTTTGTGAAAATGGATAGAAAAGAAGAGTATTTTTAAAAAATGGTACACCAAAAGGGGTATTTTTCAAAAATTATCTTAAAAGTATTATAAACATTAATCTTATAAAAAATGCAAAATATGACGGGATGGGGTTATATGGTACACCACGGGTCAACAGTACACCACGGGGTTATAAACATTAATTTAAATAAAAAATTAAGAATATAGTATCACTTTTTATTTGAAAATGTATTAAAAATTATTAAAATTTGATACAAGATGACAACTTTTACTGCTTGGTAGTTACTAAACAAATGTATTTCGTTTTTATAAATTTTAATATCGTACTCAATTATTTTATAAAACAAAATCAAAAAATTTATATATACAAAAGTAAAAAAAAAAAATCTCATGGTGTACCATGGGGTAAATCCTATTAATGAGTAACTTTGATTTAATAATTACAAAACAACATTATATTATGGCATTTGGAGATTTTTCAAGCATATATACCAAATCTTATTGAGCAATATAAATGATGAATCAAAATATAATATTTATTTGAGCAAATATTAGTTTAATCTATTGTACATTTAAAAAAAAATACGCATACTTATAGTTTTTTTTTTC